TTGGTTATTTGCAAAGATATTTGGTACTTATTGAGTTGAATTATATTTTACTGCCAAAATAAGACACTCTTGAAGAAAAAGGACCAAAATCGAATAAAAATCGGAACCTGGAAGGACTGGAGCTGAAGCCGGGAGCTTAACAGAGCTAACAGGGGAGAAAACCCATAAAAATACAAGTCCTACTATAACGACCCAAAAATAGTACTAAAATTTTTCATTTAAAAACCATTAATTTCATTCATTGATTTTACCGAAAGCCATCAATCATTACAGTATCCCAAAACATCAGAGTACAAATACAACAAGTGCGGAAATCATATGGGGAGGATGCTATTCCATCACGTCGGACCCTTCCCTTTTGAACTAGAAGTACCTAAAACCATAAACATAGACTGTAAGCATAAAGCTTTGTAGCATACAAATAATATAAAAGCGTGTGGTCGTGTCAGGTCCTTATCAACCCCCGAGTTCGTATCAACCCAAATAACAACAAGTAGCTGTGTCGGGTCCAAATCAACCCCCGGGTCCGTATCAACCTGAGTCCGTAATGACTCCGAGCCCCAAACTAGCTCAATACATAAATCATACAATCACATCATAAAAAATCATACGATAGCATATAGGTTTTACTCATACAATATAGTGGGTTGGCCTTGGTGCCTTCAGCCCAGTTAAGGTGGCAAGAAAAACCCACCTCACAGACAGAAGAAAAGCTGAAATAACATGCTGCTCTGAAACCCACGCTACTGGTCACCATTATGAATAACAGTAACCAAAACTCATACTAAAATTCAAATACCTAAAATACCCCTAAGTCAAACCCTAGTCAAAATACAGGTCAAAGTCAACCGAGTCAACCGGGTTGGCTCATTCAGTACATGGGGCGTACTCCTCATGTACGTGGGGGTACTTCGCAGTTGACCGAGAATCAGGAAGCTGACCTCATACGCGCATCGTACCCCTCAATACGCCCAACGTACACTGATGCCCACCGCCATTCTTATTAAGTGCTTAATCCTTTAAGCACTTACGTCTAAATTTCAGATCTAGGAAACAAAAGATGTTCTCACTCATAAAATTTTCCAACTTTATATGTTAGCATGACTATTAAGACCTTAACTCCATAAACCCTAGTCTCTTAACCCATTAAGACCACCTCGCACTTCCATGGAGAGAAACTAGTGACCAAAAATCCAACTTTATGACTTAACACCCCTCAAAACTTCCGAATGGACAACTAAAATGCCTTGGAGTACCTTTTACTCACCAAGACCATGTTTGGGACCAAAAAGGGAACAACTTTGAGCTAAAGCTAGATCCATAAGATTTCTACACCAAGGTTGAAGCTTTTTACATCCACAAGGTGCACAAGGGGACAAGATGTTGGATCCAAAGCCTTTAATGAAACACCATCACCTTAATGCTCTCCCTTCTACTCCAAAAGCTCCAAATGGCACCTAAAATGGCTCAACAAGAGTTACAATGCACAAACACTCTGTAGGGTTTCGAAATGAGGAAGGAGGCTAATGATAACAATCTGCATTTTGTGTGTAAACTACATAAAGCCATTTATGGTCTTAAACAGTCACTGCGTGCATGGTTTTCTAGACTTAGTGATAAATTATATCAACTTGGGTTCTCCTCTTCCAAAGTCGATACTTCCCTGTTTCTGTTTCGTCATGGGAGACATACGATCTACATGTTGGTATACGTTGATGACATCGTAATTGTTGGTTCGTCTTAGGGGATTGTTGATCAATTAGTATGCACCTTATCCACTGCTTTTCCAATCAACGATCTTGGTCATCTCAATTATTTTCTAGGGATTGAGGTCACTCACAATTCAGGGGGAATCACTTTGGTACAACACAAATATGCCTCAGATCTGATTCATAGGGCTCACATGGAGAATTGCAAGAGTGTCTCAACCCCTACGCCTGTCACAGATAAGCTCACAAAAGATTATGGAAAAGTGTTAAATGATGATGAAGCGTTCGAATATAGAAGCATGGTTGGTGGATTACAACATCTCACTTTAAAACGACCCGATATCTCTTTTGCAGTGAATAAGGTTTGTCAATATCTTTCAAAACCTACTGATAGGCATTGGGAAGCTGTGAAACGTATACTCAGATACATAAAGGGAACAAGTAATATTGGACTTAACATTCGGAGGTCTAACTCTAAAGTACTAAGTGTATTTACAGATGCTGATTGGGCTGGATGCTTAGATTATCGCAGGTCTACTGGAGGATTTGCTGTCTTTTTAAGTCCAAATCTGATCTCATGGAGGTCAAGAAAACAACCCACAGTGTCACGATCAAGTACGGAAGCTGAATACAAAGCATTGGCAAATGGTACAGCTGAGGTAGTTTGGGTGCAATCTTTGCTCAGAGAACTAGATGTGTGTCAACCAAGACCTCCGGTTCTATGGTGTGATAATTTAGGCGCTACGTATTTGACAGCAAATCCGGTGTTTCATGCACGTACCAAACACATTGAAGTGGATTTTCATTTTGTTAGAGAAAAGGTGGCAATGGGAGCTCTGGATGTACCGTTTATCTCAACTAATGATCAAATTTCTGATAATTTCATCAAGCCAATTACCATATGTTGGAACATTACAAGTACAATCTTAACCATGTTACGGTCAAGATTGAGGGGGAATGTAAACCGAAGGATGAGAAGGAGATTTCAAATAATGATTAGATAGATATATTTGTATTATTTAAAGTTAGTTGTTGTAGATATCTATCATATCTTGAATGTATTTTGTATTTCCATGTATAATGAAGAGTAAATTACACGAATGGTCCCTGTGGTTTGAGGTAATTTACATACTTGGTCCCTAACTTATTTTTTAACTTGGGTCGTCCCTATAATTTGATTTTGCTTCGCGTTTAGTCCCTTCCATACTTGAAATGACTATATTAGCCTTACTTATTTCTTTTTTGATTACTTATTTTTATATATCATTATTTATAATTCTCTTTTGATTTATTAATTTATGTATATATATTACAACAATGGGCCCACCCACCCAACCCCAATTCATCACCTCAACCATCACCATCGTCTTTTCTGTCCAACAAGGCCTCCACCTACATTGTCGAAAAAACCCAAATGTTGAACTTCAACCCTCTATTTCAACAGGAAAAAAACCGTAAAATTAAAATCCTGATTTCTACCAATTCACTAAAGTTTCAATATTCAAATCAAAACCCAATAATGAAATCTGGAATTCTTGAATCATCCACTAGAAAAATTATTGAAACCCAATACTTGAACTAAAGTTCTAACAAACGCAACCACCATTTCCCTAACTGAAAAGCTCGAAGACGGAGAGGGGGAACGCCCCTTTTGAGCCTACCTGGTCCGGTCCTCTTCTCCGACCACCCCATCATCGGAGACTTCATGGGTCGAGTTTTTCTGGTGAGAAGAGGACAAAGACGAAGAAGGGCAACGTCGAAGATGGAAGAGACAACCACTTAACCGAAATTAGGCCCAACCATCGAATCAAATCCATTTTCCAGCTTCACCGTTTCCAATCTATCAAAATTAGGCCTAACCTAAAGTTCATATGAAATCAAAATCCTTTCCAATCGAGATGCAGAATCAAATCCATCAAATCATCAGATGAAATCAAACCTAATGGGCAGAGCTTGAAGTCTAGCTTACCCTCCGACGCACCCTCTTCTTCTGGTCCTTCACCTCCGGCGAACCACCACCACCCTCTTCATCTTCATCGCTGATCTTGAGTCGAGAAAATAGGAACGAAATGCTTGTAGCTTTTCAGCGAGAAAAGAGGAGGCATCGATGAAGATTTCAGGAAAATAAAAAGAGATCTGATAAGGTGGGGTGTGTAGTGGGCGGCAGAGTGACAGTGGTGATGGACTCCGGTAGAATGGTGGTGGATCTCTGGTAATTATTTATCAACAAGTGTCGGTGATTCAAGTGGTGGGTGATAGTCGAAGAGGAGAGTTGAAGTCTTGAAGAAGAAGAATGGGCTGAAAGAGATCGTAACCTTGCTTAGGTTTTAGGAAAATGTTTTATTTATATTTCTTTTTTTTATTTATTAATATATAAATCAAAAACTTAATTATAAAAGAAATATATAAATCATAAAATTAATTAGGAAAAAAATTAATAAGGGCATAATAGTCTTTTTAAGTCATACAGGGACCAAACGTGCAACCAAAATACATTTTAGGGACCGCCCGAGTTAAGAAAAACATTTATGGACTAAATGCGCAGATTACCACAAACCACAGGGACCATCCGTGTAATTTACTCTATAATGAAATAAACCCTACGGGAATTGTAAGGCAAAATCATTCTTGGACTCTTGTCATTCTATCATGATTGTGCCGTTAAAGTTATGAATTGCCCGAGTCACTTTGCACCAAAGCGCATTATTTTCAACCTTGCACCTCCGCCACCATTTAGCAAGTAGTGAGATATTCATCATTTTTAAGGATCCAACCCCCAGTCTACCAAGTTCCTTACGAGTCGTTACTCTTTCCCACAAGACACAGTAAATGCTATGTTTCTCGAGATTCCCACAACAAAGGAATTTTCGTCTTAGTTTTCAAGGAAATTGATAATCACACTATTGAAAAGCGAGAAGTAATAGAGATGTTGACTCCTTAAAACAATTTCATAAGTGTGACTCGATTTCCAAAAAAGAGAAACCGAGCTCAATAAATGCAAGAAATAGGACATATATGTCTTGTTTCCTTCTTAGTAATGGGAGAATAATTGACTTTGGTTAAAAACGATGTGTAAACTAAAAATTATTTATGCATACTAAGCTCTCCAATCAATGACATATCCATAATAAAATAGTGACTTCTATTTACAACTTATTCATTAGATCATAAACCATGGAAGCTAGACCAAAATAAAAAAGTATGAATATATAAGTAATGAATAATATATTTTTCCAAAACCAAAAAATAAAATTAAACCGAAAAAAAGCATGAAATCTTATTGTCTAACTTCTAAGTTGAACCTAGTTCATGTATAGAGGACATATTCTTGTAAATTTCAACAAGCAATCGACTCTGAAATTCATCGTTGGAACTAGAAATCTTGGATGATGGACGAGCCTTTGAAGCATCTTTCCCATTTTTCTTGGAGCCAATGAAGTTAAACATCTTCTTGATCTTCGAAAACCTTCCATGGTTGTCCTCTCCAAGATAGATAGTCCTCATGCTCCTCCCACCATCAAACCCTCCGTGTGTTGTTCTCCTCCACACTCTATTCGCATCAACAGAACTCGAAAGGCTTCTCGAAAGGCTTCTTGTGAAGTTTTCCATTTCTAGTTAGCTCTATTGAAGTTCTTGATGTGTGTTGTGAGAGTACTTATGATTGTTGTGTTGTGAGAAATGGTTTTGAAGAGTATATATACATATTTAGACATGGCATGCGGTCCATTAAAGTTAGTTTGAAGCCATGTGTGCTTTATAAGTTTGACAAACTTTTATTGACCGTATTATCTAGTCAACAAAGTCGATTTCTTTAATATATATTTTATAATAAATAAACGAAGAGTGTTTCACATATCTTTCGAATCAAATTAAATTCATTTTTCATAGTAATTAAAATATTTGGTTATTTTGAAGGAAAAAGTTATTAAACAATAAAAATATATGCAAACCGCTTTAAATATTTGAAAACACTTATGTGATATGCAAAATTCAATTGTATGACCGTATCAAAAGTCAAAGCTAGGGATGAACTCGAAGCGACCGATAATTTTTTTATTTTAAAAACGACAAATGTAGAATTTAAAATTATTTTTAATTTCACTGTAAGATGGGACTAGAAGCCTCAATATTAAAGAGATGAGAACACATAGTTACCAAATTGTTTTGGAGACCAAAGCTCAACTTGAATACTGAATCATATATATACCGATATACTTGTTCGGTATACTGGTTCAATTAGGGTTTCAGGACTGGAAATTCGGTTTTATAACCACTTAAAACCAAATTTTAGAACACTAGATAAAAATTAACGTAAACAATTTCTGACACGACACGACAAAAATACATGACACGAAACGAAATTGGGGCCAAACTAAAATTTGAATTCGTGTTTGTGTCGTGTTCGTGTTAACTGTTAAAAACACGATGTCGTGTCGTGTTCGTGTTCAAAATTCGACATGAAATTGACACGATTTAGCAGTTCTTTATCGTGTTTTTCGTGTTTGTCGTGTTATATTTGATAAAGTATTCATTAAATAAGCTAATTTTTAGTATATGTTATTTGTCGTGTCGTGTTGTGTTTGACATTTTTTAATTCGTTCGTTTTCGTGTTAGTTAAATAAAACACGACAGCGTGTCGTGTCGTGTTCGTGTTACATAAAACATTGTCGTGTCGTGTCCTGTCAGAAAGAAACACGAAACGATAGCACGATTTGCCACCCCTAATTGATCTATGAGAAGTAACCTTAAATTATAATCTACCAAAATATTAGTTTGACTTCTACATGTAGAGTCCACTTTAGAAAATTAACAATGAAAGAATTTATGCACTGTTGGTGATGAAATCAATTTAGGCTGAACTTTTTTTTGAAACGATGAAGTGGACTCAAATTGCAAAAATACAATAAAATTTATACTTACATACCTCATCCCATCTATAGAAATAATTACATTTAATCGAACACTTCGTTGTAATACATCTTTCAGTAATATGTGATTCAACAACTAAAGAACTAGCTACGACAAATTGTCTACATGTAAATTAAATAACAACGTAGATGTTTAGCAAGATATAAAATGAAGACAGCTTTAACACAAGCTAAAATGCAGAAAGCAAAACGTACAAGATAAATGAGAAGAAAAAAGGAAATCGATAATTACAACAGCAGTGATAAGAGTGTCATGGTGTAATAATCCTATGACTGAAACTCTGTATTTTTCCTAGCATCTCGCTAGGTGTGTTTTCATGAATTCTTGTCTTGCTGTTCAAAAAGGCGACCCATGCTTTTTTGCATACGTTTGACCTATGAAAGTGTAGGTTAGACCAAAAATAACAAAGCAATTTGGATTTTACTTTGTGTACTGAAGCAGGCATGAAGCACGAGAACAAAATGGTGACAAAAATTAGAAGGAAACAATGAAGAGGAAGAAAGCAAGTAGGAACAGGGGAAGAAGAAATAGGGGACATGAGAGGTAATCAAACAAAATAGTTGTTGGCTAAGTTTTCTTTGATTATAAACCTAAAAACCGGATGAAAAAAAAAGCAATTAAAAAATTACTCCTATTTATAATATAGATAAAATAAGGGAAAATGTCACTTTAACACAATCAAAATAGTGTTAGACTTGTCTGGTGGGGCTATCTAAAGACAAGTTTCTACCGTATTTGTAACGAACTCTAAACCATAAGAAGCTATTGTTAATGACTTACGAGGCACGAACATAGATGCTTTTAACTTTGCGGTTGAAACGTGCTTTTAACTTTGCGGTTGAAACAAATGTCGTTCCGGGTGCACCAAATGGCCCATAGGAAGGCCCGAATCACAACCCCATATTTGATGGCCTCCACTTTCGTCCCTATGAGATCCTCTCCTTTGAACAAGTCTTCAAGATCAACCCCTTGTGTTAAATCCGGAAGTTTAGACCATTTTACCCTTAAGTTTTCCATAAGCTGCCTTATTGTAGAACATTGCAGGAACAAATGATCTGCAAATTCGGGATAACAGTTGCATAACGAGCACATGTGCATTGGAATATGAATGCCTCTATACAAAAGGTTGTCAACCGTAGGTAATTGATTAAGTCGCAGATGCCAAATGAAGGTAGTTATTTTTCTAGGGACAGCCTTACACCAAACTGTCTTGAGAGGAGTACTATCAAGAGTGATCATCCAGAGCCTTTCTAAGGGAACTGGCCGTGTATTGTCCATCCTTTTCCAGAGTTCACTTCGAGTTTTTCCCGTCTTATGTAAGCATGTTATTCATGTCTAAAACCGCCTTGTTCGGAGTCGTGTTGATGCTACTAATTTCACCCCAAACATTAGATTTCCGATAAGCATGGATGACTTCCCCAAGGCCTCCTCTATCACCATAAAAGGCTTTTATCACCTCCTTCCAGATTCCTTCAGTACCTGCAAAGAAGCACCACCATCATTTACCCAGAAGGGCTAAATTTGATGCATTGAGGCTGCCAATGGTCAAACCTCCCTTCTCCGTGTTATTCAACGTTTTCGACCAGGAAACCCACGTAATTTTCTTCGAATCAGCCTTTCCCCCCAGAAGAACCTACATTGGACAATTTCAATTTGAGTAACCTTATCAGAATCATTAAGAAAATACACAAATCTAGAAAATTAGGGGTTTATGCTTAACACAACGAAAAGTTCAACTAATGAATTTATCTTGTTAAAAACTCATAAAAGTTAAAATGTGTTTGTGTATATCAATCTCTATGTTACCTCCATAACCAAGGAATGATGTTATAACGCCTGGTTTTCTGGTAAATTTCTTACATTCTAAAGTGTTTATTGATTTTTCATATTGGCCTATTACATTGGGCGTAAGCATGGTACACTGGGCGTACCTTGGCGAACCTTGGACATGGGGTTTTCCCCCTAATACGTTGGGCGTACTCGAGCTAGAGGCAAACCCTAAATCTTAGGGTTTGGACCCTATTTAAGCACCTTATAACCCTCAAGGCCTCTTCTATGATCAGCCTCCTTCGTCCGAAAGCAGCTTCCACGAAACCCTAATCCGTCTTTAGAGAATATTGAGCCTTGTATGTGTTTAGTGTTTCTTGAAGGAAAGAAGAACCCTTGGAGAAGCTCTTGTTTATTTGAAGCTTGTAGATCTAGAATATGTTCACCTTCATCATCTTCCAGAAGGTATAAAGTCTCAACCTTGGTGATTCTTTGTTAATATCTAAGCTCGCTAGGGTTTTTGGCATATTTTGGTCCCTTAAATTGATTCATGTGAGTATAAGTTACTCCAGAAGTTTAGAATGGTAGATCTTGATGTTTTTAAGGTCATTTGTTCATAAAAATGGCATCTTGATGGATTTAGCTCAACCATGCAAATGTTGATGGTCATAATATGAAGTTAGAGTGCTAGAAATGGGTGTTGGGCCTTGTTGAGCCGTAAGTTGATGAATTTATCATTTAAGACATTTTCCTTAAGCAAGATCTATGATTTGGACGTTTGGACATAAGCTATTAAGTGCTTAACATGAGATTTCGCCATCAGGGGAGTATGTTGGGTATACGTATGCGTACGCCAACGTAATGCATTTAACCCCCATTTTCTCGTTGTTAAGGGTTATATGTGGGGCGTACTCACCAGAAGCCTTTTTGTACCATTTCTTGGGCCTTAGGTCTTTTGGGCTTGGGCCATGGCTTATTAGGCTTAGGGTAGGAAGGGTAAACAGGTCTTTTACCCTTTGTATGAGGGTTTGTGATTAGACTTTTAGTTATAGTCATTACCCTAATTAATTATTAGAGTCAGTTTGGATGTGTTCAGTTGAGGAGCCATCGTAAGAACAGCCCGTGTGTGTGACTGTTCATCATTTGATTGAGATGAGTCTTCTCACAGTGTTTTGGCGGGTCAAAGACATTGATTATGGCTCATTGATTATTGTTATTAGAATGCTAGATGTCTGTGTGACTCTTGCATTAATTTATTTGTTTTCATGTATACCGGGCGGGGCCTCATGAGTGTGTTGGGTGGGGCCCAATGTCGGGCGAGGCTTGATGGATGTCAATCGATGCCCATTATATGTATGGTATGTGGTATTTTGGGGATAACTCACTAAGCTTTGTGCTTACAGTTTAAGTTTTGTTTAAGGTACTTCCGATTTGAAGGAGAATGGATCGGCTTTATCGCAGCGCATCCACCCATGTTTCCACACTTTTATGATTTTGGGATTGTACTCTGATAACTATTTTTATTTTGACATATTTCTGGATGGTTTGATATGAATATTTGATGGTTTTTTGTTGAATTAAAATGAAATTTTTATTTATGATTTTTAGTGTAACACCGTAAATTTTCATTTTTAAATCACATAAAAACTCAATGTCACATGTTCTCAAAAACCACAATGTATCAAATGTCAAACACAAGTCAACAAAACAACTGATAATATCCAGAATCCACAACATAATCTGCAGCAAGTGTGTACAATCAAGCCGACACCTTCCCGCGATGCTGAGAAGTACCTGAAACACATGTCACACAACACTGTAAGCATAAATCTTAGTGAGTTCCCCAAAATACCACAAACACAAATAATAAGCCTTTCATAGCTATAGCTCGGCATGGACCTTCCGGTCATGCG